TAAACATACAGCACGACAACAAGTAGTCTCTATCCCCCCATGGTGTTATTAGTACAAGCATTTTATTAAATTTAAGACAACATTTACCATGAGGCTTCTATCCTCTGGAAGTTTTATGTGTTTAGAGTTTATAGTCAGCAGTGCAGGTTTATCTCTTCAGTCTTTACTTGGATGGTAAAAGTATTCAAAACAAATTACAACTGCTTCAAAACTGTCCTCAGGTTTCAGAAAGATTTCAGATCTTTCTCTAACACTCACACTGGAGTCCAGGCAGTACACCGCAGAGAGGTTCAGTCTCTAGCTCCACCCTGTGGTCAGTCTGTGTCATTATCTTTATAGATGAACTACACAGTTGAAGGTGAGGTTCAAACTGAACCCTTGTAGACCCTTGTAGATTAGAGAAGTCCAACTGGTGGATCCATTCCAGTTTTATTTTTCTTTTGTGGGTTCTGAACTGATTTTTGTAATAATTACTGAGGGTCTTTCAGACCAATGTTCAATGTGTTCAATGTGTTGAACCAAATTGAATGTCTGTCCCAATGGACATCAGGTCTGTTAATATGATCGGAACTGTTTATCAAGCTGAGACCATAATTCCAGCATCATGACACATGTTTTCTTTCACGGTTATTTGATTTAATCAAGTTAATACTGAAGTTATCAACTTAATTCCACAATATCTTTACAGTTACTCCCGTATGAGTATAATGTAATGTGCCATGATTGTGATCAACACACTGTGTTTGCTCTGTGGGCTTTAAAGGAGGATGTCTTAATAACCAGTAATATGAAATACAAATACAGGCACAGAAGAGCTAAAATGATTTTGCTGTAAAACCAACATACTAGGACTACCCATATGTGGGCTATAGTTAACACATGCACAGTTAAAACAACCATAATATTTCCAATAAACTTTACACTGTTACACTGGCACCCATTTTGGTGGACATGACAAAAATATAACAAAGAACATCTGATTTAGCCTCATTTCTATTTAAAGACATTCTTGTAAAGAGGGTTAAAGGAGTTTTGCATTTGGACACAACACCATCCAGTGTATTCTGGTCAGCCTCCTGGTTCCAATATATCCATTATGTGTGTTTGGTTGTTAAATGAAGACTTTTAGGAGTCTGTGTTCTGACATGGGGAGGCAAGATGGTGGCATTGAGACTTTAAGGAGTGGCAGAAATGCAATATATGCTGATTTAATTGTAAAGAATCACAGATTTCCTTGGAATAACACCCAAATGAAAACAATACATTATTATGACACTGTTACGATCAACAGGGAGGAACTGAAAAGCGGACACAGACACAGGTAGTGGATTTGATGAAGAGAGTAATTTATTGTCCAGACTAAAAGGGGAATGAATGTGGTTGAGGAGAATCCAGAGGATGCAGGCAGGGACTCCATGGAGAGACAGAGGACAAAGGCTGGTTGTGAGCGTGGCTGACAGAGAATGATCCTGGAGACAGTGAGAACAAGGCAACATTTTACTTTTATGCAATATCTGTTCTTTCTATTCCTTACATTCCCAAACAGGCTTGTTACTTTAGTTTCAATAAATTTGTGGGAAAAAATTATTAATTGATATTATTATTTGCATCATTGCTTGCCTTCCCAACATCAAGCCTGATGCATACAATGCATAACAGACCTCAAGACGACAGACAAGAGCGAGAGTTGACCCTGTTTGAAGTCTCAGTTAGCTTTGCACAGAAACAGCCAGTAGAAATGTCTGTCAGATAAACAAAGAGAATACAAAGAGCCTGCACCTTTTCACTTTTACTTAAGTAACTTGAGTTGAATCAGTACTTTTACTTTTGCTGGAATATTTTCTGTACTTCTACTTGAGTAAAGAATGTGTGTACTTTTGACACCTCTGAACTTAAGTCTATCACTTTTTCTAAAATGTGTCCATTACAGATCATGAAATTATTATTATGTGTTAATGTCCGTTTTTAAACATGTTCTTTTAAAAATGTTTCTAAATTAGTGTATTATATTTGACAGCATTCGCGGCAGCTGGGGTGGACAGAGGGGTGGACAAAGGGGTGGCAGCCCCATAGATCCGCCCCTGCTAAGTTAAAGCACATTTCCCACCAAAATAAAGCAACTCAAACTCACTTATCCCTCCTTAGTGCTTAAAACGAGACAAATCGATTATCAGAGATGCTTTAACTAAAACAGAAGACAGACCGGCATATTCAAATATAACTAAATTCATAATAACTAAATATGTAACTAATGCACTCCGACCATCTAATTATTGTTATTCACGAAAAAACACCGAAACAAACAAACAGACTCTAGCAGTTTCACTTTCGTTTTTCTGTCATTAAAGGTAGCACATAGTTTCGTTACATCCTGCTGTTCATTGCTGTGTTTAGGTTTTGTTTTCAGAGTTTGTGCCCAGTTTAAGTTTCGTTTGTGAGAGTGTAAAAGCAGCTGACGGTGCAGCAGAGACACAGACACAATGCTCTCATGGGGAGAGGACAGTCAGCGGGGCTTCCGGCTGAGAGACGGCACACTGGTCGACGGCTCAGCAGGGGACGGGGTTCAGCATCTAGACCTCGGTTATCACATCACCGACCTGTCAGCAGGCCACAGTGTGCTGGCCTTCGTCAAAAGCAATGGCAACTCCTTCATCATTCGCACAAATGAGAGAAAAGACGGGAGCAGAGTCAGAGGGAAACAGAGTGAGCATCATGTTCTCTATTTCTGTGTTTATTCATGTAAAACAAGTTCACCTCTAACTACAAGGCTCTTGCAAAAGGCAGTTTTCTAAGTTGCAGTAATGACGACATAACTGAATCCACTTACACCTGCTGTGCACTTTCAGAGTGTGTGGACTGTAAAGAGAAGATTAAAGCAGTGAGCTGTGGGGACGATGTGGTCACACTGCTGTCTGAGAGAGGCAAAGTCCTCAGTGTGGACACCGCTCACACTTACATTCCAAGGTAAGGAGAAACTGCGCTGTCAGTCTGTGTCCTAAATATGCTACAAAATGTACAAAAAATGATTTTGAGATGAGATTTGGTACAAAGTTAGTTAAATGAGTATTTGAACTCTTGTTCTTGCAGGCCTCTGGAAGCTTTGTGCAACATAGCAGTTTCTCAGGTTGCTTGTGGGAGCCAGCATTCAGTTGCCCTGACCAAAGGTACAGTAAAGTACAGTAGACCATGGTAGACTGTAAGGAGGAATGAATGTGGTACTACTGGTATTATGTGCTGAGGTTTGGACCCATTGTGTGTCTGAGCTTACTGACTCCACCCTCAAAACAATGGATAATTTATTTGTGGAGAGACCAGGACAAGTCCAGGATGTCAGGTAAGTGTAGGCAGAGCACTATGGAGCTAACAAACTTAAGTTGATTTCTCCACAGATGGTCAGGTGTATACGTGGGGCCAGGCCTCCAGAGGCCAGCTGGGTCTAAAGGAAGCCGGCGCCAATTCACCCAAACACCCTCCATCTCTGTCAGCGATCCCCCTGGTCCAGATCGCTGCAGGGGGAAAGAGCAGAGCTTCGCCCTCTCTGTCTCCTGGAGGTGTGTTGCTGGGGCAAGAAAACGACTGTGGACAGCTCGGGCTTGGATGACACGACGGTAAAATAAGCAGTCATTACAGCTAACATTTATTAAAGGACCAGTGTGTAGATTTAGTGGCATCTAGTGGTGAAGTTGCAGACTCTAAGGTAACAGAAACAATGATTCTTCCTTTTCAGTAAGATTATATAACACCAATGAAAACTTTGTATGTAATATTAAAATTCCATTTCTGCCAAATAGATCCTCCTAAATGTTACACACTGGACCTTAAAATATATACAGCCTTCCTTTAACAGTGTAAACTGAAAGTTTTTATTTATTTTCTATAGACAGGACACAAGCACAAACATCTGTTCATTGCCTGATCATGAAGAAATCTGTTCACATTTCCTGTGGGAAATGGACCACACTGCCATTTTGACAAGGTTAGAAAAAGAGAGCTGCTAACAATTTCTTAATACAGATACACAAAATTATGATAGTTACTGGAAGAATTTCCTTCTCACTCAATCCCTAGTAAAAACTCACATTAATGCTAGTGTATTGTAAGTCTTACTAGAAAGATTTTCACCACTCTCATGGGTGGAACCACTAACCTACCACATTTTATTGCTGGAAAAGAGCACTTTTAATTCCTTGACAACAGACATTGAAATTAAAATAAATCTAATTTACTCAACACTTGACACCCATAATACACCATGAAATGATGAAATAAGTTTTAATCGTCTTGCACCCTAACTCCATGTTCAAGGATCTTGTGGTGAAAATATTTTTAAAAAGTATTAGAAGTCAGTTTAGAAGGTCTGTTTTTGGATTTCTAAAAGACTGAACCAAAACTGTAAAGTCACAGAAATTAAAAACTAAAAGCATCAGGCTGAAAGATGCCCTTAATGCCGTAGAGCTGAAAGGGAACTGCAGAACTTGGGGTGAATATTTCTGTGGGGTCATCGCTTTGACAGAGACTTTGGTTAAAAGAACAATGAACTTGGCCAGGATCTTGAAAATCGATTTGGGCTTTTGTCCCAGCCTAATTCTGGTTAGAACAGAACACACAGGCTGACCCTGGCAAAAACCACAAGAGGGGGGCCGTGTGTCTATACGTCAACTCACGCTGGTGTAAAACTATCATAAAAAGGGAATCTAATCTGTAGCCCCAACATATCGAAGCTTTTAAATCACTATTCTAACCTGCGTCCCGTTTTATCTGCCAAGCCCCAAGAAATTCCCCAACTTTTCATTACACTGGTTTATATCCACCCCAAAGAGCCAAACTTGGCCAGATGCTGCAGCTGAAATTACCA